TAAAAATATGACTCGAGGATTTCGAGAGAAATGCGTCGTAAGTGATTAATTTGATGGATTGCATACGGTGTTCTAATTGAAATATTAATTTCGATTAAAATGCTGGCGGGTCATCTCCTTCTTCATAAACGGTCAAACGTCACCGCCGTTAAATTGAAGTCAATAGATTGACGAGAGAATCCGACACAGTCGACGCGCGATGCGAAATTTCGATTCTAGACGAATGAAAATATTTTATCCAGTCGCGCGTGAATGTTTAATCGTATTATTTGTTTTTCCCCCAAGTGTATGTTAAATTCATAATTCCAAATTATACCAATTTGAGTTACTTTTAATCATTTCTATAAGTCGCCACAGTTCCGAATCAATATGTCGTTGATTTGAGTAAAACAATGAAGTTAAGTTAACTCAAGATAATGTATTTATTATAGTTTGACTCAAATTTAGTTTCTTATTTACTAAGTATTACATATTATGTTAATACGAACGTTGTTTACTTTGAAACTAATCACAAAATAGATTAATTTACACAAAATGACCGGATGTTCTGTTCTTTTCCCCTTAAAACACGGGATGGAGCTATCAATTCATTATAATGTACACACATAGATCGTACCTTTCTAACTATGAATCGTTCATTAACATATTTTGCTCAAGTTTCCTCCTCGAATATTGCATTTTCTTTCTTTCTCTCTTTTTTAATATATATTAGATTGATATATATCTATAGTTAAAAGCAGAAATGATTAAGAAATAATCGATCTTTTAATTTAACCGCTCACCATATCCAACTTCGATCATCTTCTCGTGTCGGGCGCAGCACGTGTGTTGTCGCGGTTCTTCTGAATGCACTTTTCCCTCATTTCCTGATTCCTTCTCGCAAAAAGCTAAGCAACAAAAATCGAGGCGATCACGAGTGGAACTCAATCGATAACTTTAAAATTTATGATCGGAATTAGACGGGAGTTAAACGCTTCTTAAACGATGTGATATTAATGACATAAAATAGATCTATACCTGGTCGATTTAAACAAAATTAAAAACTAAAATTCTAGATTTTAATTTGGACTCAAAATTTGGATGCACAATTGAAATTAAATCGCGTCTTGTAGACTACTCTTTTTTGAGGCAACAATTTGAAAATTGTAATTTTGATTTTTCATTATGTGGGGAGAAAGAGATGGATCTTTTCTTTTGCCAAACGATTCTGTCATCGACTGAAAGAAGCAAAGATTATTGTGCGTAGCATCAAGATTTTAACTCCTTAAAATTTTGTTATTATTATTAATATTCGGAATGCATCTG